CATTGATACTATAAACTCAGTCTGTCACTTGTCATTTACAACAAAGGAGGCTTTCTGTCCTCACCACTTTTCACACTTGATCTATGAAGCAGCTTCCAAAAACAATACCGATCTGGTTCTCTAACCCTAAAGGAATTTGACCAGCACTAAATCATTTAGATGTGTTTATCATCAGTGCCAGGTCACTGAGCTTAAACCTGCATACCACACTTACTTCACTTGCAAGCTCCTCATTTGAACTGTTTTCACCATGTCCTTTGCGTTCATCTCTTATATTTTCCACAGGGGGATTACCATCGAGCCCTGGAGGACTGCAACAGAGCTCTGAAACTAAAAGAGTGCAAGGAAAACCCCAAGGCCCTGTACAGGAAGGCACTTTGTCTGAAGGAGCTTGGGAAGTACAGGGAGGCCTACAACTGCACCACCGACTGTCTGCTCATCAGTCGTCTGGTAAAGGAAGGAGAGAATTGGGAGTCTTACAGCATTCATAATGGATGGAGTTTGACATTGAGTCAGTGACACAATCTCCATCATTTTATTTTATTTTTCATTTTTTTGGGTCAACAACATAATTCTCTCTCATCATGGAGTGGATTGCAAAAATGTGTACAAATTTAGGGTGCCTCTTTTTAGCTTTGGTTATATGAACAGTAAATGCAAGGCACAAGATAAATTGTGTTTGTTTATCAGTTTCAAGAAAGTTGGTTACACTACACGGTAAATGTCACAGACTTGTAGCTTTTACATTGGATTCATTTGTTCTGCTGTTTTAACTCTTGACAGGACAAACAGGTGAATGAGCTTGCACAGGAACTGGCCGTCCACCTGGGACTAAAAAATCGGAAACCCTATGTCAGCGCAAAGGTTAGTAAATTTTTTTATTTTTATTTTGTTCACTGAGGAATACAAGTGAATTGTGTTAAAGGGTTTTCTAAGTATTCAGCTCTATTATGGTCAGATAGGATGCAGTTTATATTGTGATATTGACATAAATCATTGATTTATTGGGTGCTGCTTATCCAGTGAATGCAATGAGTATCATGTTATTTTATCACATTGAAGCCAAAATCCTGTAAGTTAAATATGCAATTCAATGGTCTAGTTGCATACAGCAATATTAGAAATAGCTACAACGGTAAATACAGATAAATCTCTTAATGTTTGTCTATCTTCTCACAGTACACATCGTCATATTGCCTAACTCTATTGCAGACATGGTGCAGATTTGTTCTTATTTAGTCCTCAGCCTGTTTCTTATATCCAGTCTGTTATCTTGTCTTACCCAGAAAGACGCACTTATCACAAGAGGTGTCGCAAATGGAAACATGACAGCTGAAACGATCATGGCAAGTTCCATATTATCTCTAACATTCACTACCATATATTTTATAAAATTTTACTTTTACATTTACTAACAGACACATTTTAGTTTGCTTAAATGCAAAAAAGTTTCAGCTGACAGTGATTTCATGTCACAGAAACAGTAATTATGCATGCTTTCCTGTTTTGCAGATGTGTTCTTGTAGAGCCTTTATTCATCCTCTTCTCAGACATTTATTTTATTTGGGCTTGATTATACTTTTTTCCCCCGTCTCACTTCCAGGTATCTGGTGCTCATTTAGGAAACGGTACCAATCCTCTGAGTGGCCTTGCTCCAGGTGTGAATTCTTGACTTTGACTTGATCTGAATTGTGGTGCGTTAACATACAGTTAACGTTTTGTGTCTCCACATCTGTTTTCATGATTTAAGTTCTTGAAAACATTTCACAAAATCAATTACAAGTAAGATCTAAATAAATTCCCTCCTGGTTCTCTTCAGTCCGCTTTCCCAGCATGTCTCAGCCGTCAAGTCCCTCCACAACTCCCAGCTGCCACCAGCCCGCTGTCTTCAAAGTACCTGACACGGTGGACACTCTGGAGGACTCTGAGCTGATGGGAGATGACTTGGACAGCCTGCTCGACTGCTTCCCTAATGAGCAGGAGCCAACTGAGGTAATAACTGTTTGTTACGTGTTTGTCCTTGCAGACCAGTTATTTAACTTTTTTCACTGATAATGGAAAGCAGGTGTCGATAGTTGTAGACGATTACTGAACTTTAAGGTGTGGAAGAGCATGTAATAATACATGAACATTGTCCAACTCTTGGGAATTTCACACATCGAATGGAAAAACAAACATCAAAGAAAAACATGTTTGAACTCATTTGCAACAAAGTGCATACTTTCTTATTCATTTCAGGCAGAAATGAATGTCACATTCACTTGTCATAGTTGAATTTTACTTTGGATAGCTAATCCATCGCTGAAAACATTCTTTCTCCTTTTTGTCTCTTCTAAAAACAAGTTTTTATTATTACCTATTGATGCAGTTGAAATGTTCTGAGTGGGAAGTTCCAGTATCTAATATTTTGAGCTACAGCTGCTGACAAACAGCCTGAACAGCCTGCGAGTTATTGAAAATGAAACCCAGAAGACCACAGATATAAACAAACATGAAGGTCATGAATGAACCAGATAATATACATTTGTTTGCGTTTTTCATTGAAAAAATTAAATCTGTCTCCAGTAGAAAAAGACACAGAAGAGGTCAGACTCTAAAAAGGATAACAAGGTTGTACATTTTCCTTTAAAGCTGCATTAATAATTTTTTTTTTTTGCCACCTGTGGGAAACTGAACGATCAGTCCTATCAATCATTGCCATTAGTACCATAGAAAGTGGATATGCTGACATGTTCGCAAACAGTTGCCTCTTTACACATTAGCATTAGATTGGAGTTAGGTTTCTGTCCACTATTTACTCCCTTTTATGGTCTATGTTAATCTCCACCAACTCTTGAGGGAAAAAACTGTCTCTTAAACAGCTAGATGTTCCACTTTCTTCACCAGCTAGTGTCTTGTCTATTTGCCATTGGTGCTGGTAAAGTTGTGTACAGCAGGTTTATTAGAGCTTTTCCACTGGAAACAGCTGCCTGTTTGCTAAACCAAACAAAGAGCTCTGCAGAGCTGAGTGAAGCTGCGGAGTCAAAACATTAGATTAGATGTTGCAGCTTGAAGTGTGTGTATTATGTCATAAATAAAAGCTTTTATGTAGATGTACTTTCTCATATTAAGTTAATTGTTTATCATGTTGTTAATGGTTATAATAAATGTTGGCTGACAATAGCAGGGCAATTGTCAGCCAACATTCATTAACACCTTCAAATATATTCATTTAATTCAGGTATTGTCTTCTTGTTTTCCAGACCCACACCCAGGCAGCATCCTCAGTCCCCAACAAGACCTCCACATCCCCATGCACAGTTCCTTTTATCCTGCCCGCCCCGACACCCCAGCTACCCCCGGCCTTCTTCAGCTCGGCCGTCAGCCCACTCAACACCCTGGACTCCTTTTCAGGTGGTGGGTGCAGCACCACACCTGCAACACTAGATGCTCTAGACGACCTCTCGCCCTCCGGAATTGGTGGCACAGATGCTCTAAACCTGGGAGTGACCTCTGTGGCGCTAGATGAACTGGATGCCCTTGATTCCCTGGATGACTTCTTGGAAACGACTCCAGGTGCCGCTGCTGCTGTGACTAAGTCCAAAATAGAACTGGACGTCGGGAACAAGTCCCTTGATGATTTGCTAGATGAACTAGATCCCCTGGAGACTGTCTCTGATCCAGGAGGTCAGAGTGGTGTTGTCCCTAAGCTTGGTCTGAAAGCTGTGGACCAGGTCAAGTCCCTTGATGCCCTGGACTCGTTTCCCTCAGTGGAAGGTGTTGGGGCAGCTTTGCCAGCAATCTCCTTTGGGGGAACAGCCCTGGACTCATGCTCTGATTTCCGCTCAACTGGTAATTATGAACATTGTTAACATTATCACAGCATTGTTTCCCAACCTTTCGGCCTTGTGGCCTTTTTAAAATGTAGCCTCTTGAGTTGTGAGCATCATCAACATCAAGTGAGTTTTTTTGGTTCTCACATTGTTTCATTTGAAGCACTTGAAAAAGTGGAAGTATGCAGTATTTTAAAAGAAAAAAATGAAAACTAATTTTGTGTAACTTTTTTTTGTTTTGCCTTTCACTTTAAGATTTTTTTTGGGGGGAGGTGGGTTCTAACTACTGACCTACAGTTTGTTTCATGAACCGTCTGCAGATCTGTTTTATGATGCATATAGGGTACAGTGGGAAATGAGAATAAACAAAATACAGTAAAGCCTGACACCAGATTTTAATTTCAGGTTATTAGTGCTCCCCTTTTTTAAGACCATACTGGCGTTTGTACATGTTTTAGCTCATTTACTACAAAGTGTGTGTACACATTACACAAATACATACAGTAGTTTTTTCATTTACTTTCTCTCATTGCTCCTCAGGTATCACAGGCTCGCACAGTGCTGCAGCTACATTAATGCGATCTCCAAAGAATAACTACAAAGTAAGACTGATTATCTGGCTTGTCTTGCCTTCTCCATTTTAGCCTGTTTTGTTAACATTAACTGAAATCTTATTCTTACTGTGGCAACACAGGAGAGGAATTACAAAGGGCTGGTTGCAGCTTCTAACCCCCTGTCTGCCACCCATGAGTTCTTGCAGGCGTGCTCTGCCTGTTTCCCTCGGCAAGGTATGCTAGCAGTCCAACTGTGTCTCAAACTAACTCTAGTGTAGCGAGAAATCATAATGATCCGGTTACTGGTGATGGTTTTACTATGCAGGCAGTTTAATGCCGTTTTAATGTTCCCTGTTTTGGGCAGGTCTGCATCCTGAATCCCTTCTCTTAACGTAGCTGAATGGGCAAAAACCTTAGTGAAAATGTGAAGCCCTGACCAAAATGCAAAAATCTATTCAGAATACACCAGTTAAGATAACAAAAAATGTCTTACAAGCTACAAAAATCCATTACTGGATCTTTACAAACATTCAAAAAGAATTCCTGCTTTATTGTTCTGTTGAATATCTTCAGTCTTTTTCGTTTTCAGGTCAAAAGATTTGTAGTTTTGTTCATAAGCCAGACCTGGTCCACAGCTGTGAGCGAGACATTCTGTTATGTAGACGAAAGGCAGATCGTCCTTCAGAGTGGACCAGAGTGCGGCCGCTTCCTGCCTATACTTCCTTCAGTGGGCCGTTTGTACTTTGCAGGGGTAAGGATCTGAAAATTAAATGGACGACTGATGTCATTATATTTTCTGGTTTATCGGTATACACTGTCTGTTACTTGTTATTGTGGTTAAACATATGTGTGTAGTGCATGTATCATGACAACATAGTGTTTGCTTTGTTTTGTGTGTGTCCGTGCGGTATGTAATGCCGAAAAGAACACACCTGCAGTACGTTTTAGCATTATAATGCTTACAGTTTATCAGGTGTCACTTCTGAATAAGACTGAACTTTATGTTTATAAGCATTTCAATAAATTAAACATAGCTGCTTATGATTATACACAGTATAATTAATTTGAGGTAGATTAACATGTGCTAAAAGAGTTTTTAGTCTTTAATCTTTTTTTTCCTACCTGGTAATGGCAGTGCAGAATAAAAGATTAAAACAGTTCTAAAAAATACAAAAAAATCTTTATTTGTCTAAACTGATCATGGTCAGATGTAACTGGTGAGATGTAAATGTTTGTTCTATAGCTACAGACAAAAATGTATATGTAAATTTTAGGATGTTTGATAAGCTGGCTCTGTGTGCTCTGCACATGATATAACGCTGGGTATCGTTTAGTTTTTTCAATAAAGTAGCTATTAAATTTATCAGTAAAAGATAATAAACATAGAAGTACTAAAACACATATACAGCTAGTCCAGAGACCTGCTGCCTAGGGTAGCTTCGGGCGTCTGGCTTCGGGATGCATGATCATTTACACAGTGTATGTTTCTGTGTTTTGGGGAGTAGAGATCCTCTCCCAGCCTTGAAATGAACATTCAAGTAGAGGAGAGGAACAACAAGAGAGGGAAAACACCAAAACAATCTCATGGCTCTGACCTAAACCCTAGTAAATTGGACGGACTAACATAAGGAGTATAGAAGAAGGAGAGGTTAAGAATAAAAACACAATACATATATATCTATAAGCCATAATGATAATAGTGATAATAATAATAATAATATTAAAAGATGTACATAAAAGATTAAATGTAAGAGGACACAATTTTCTGCCATAACAGCCGCCAGGCGAGCATTTTGATGCATGTTACATAGTGACGCAGATAGGTTACAGAAGAAAAGGCTGGACAACAATCGAGCTGTTTTTGGGCAGTCCAGAGCAGTGTTATCTGTGGGACATGGTAACTTCCTGTAGGGTGGACTTTGGGCTTTTTCACTCTGCAAACCCATACATGCACAAAAAAGACATAATGCAATAAGCCTAGAAGCATAATATGACCTATTTCAGATATCTAAGTTTCAGTACTGATGCCTAAGAGATACTTTAGGCATATAATAATAATACCTAATGTTAAAGGTTCTCAGGCGGCAGCTGGCTCCCACCATTCACTTAAGAGTTTGCTCATAGAGCTGACTCATTCATGACTGACACATCACTACCCCATAGTTTCAGCTGGGAGATGTGTGCATATTTTCCTTATTAAACTGAAAGGGAAAAAAAAAACACTTTCTGAAATGTATCCCCCCCCCCCCCCCCCAAACTAATTGTCTAGTTATCTCATCGTAAAACACACTTCATTCAAACTCGACAGAAACAAAGTACAGCTTCACAGAGACGCTAGCATGGCTGCAGACTCTTTGGCTTTTACTGTTCTGTGAAAACAAAGACTAAGTTCTCCAAACCCAAACAGTCATACAATAATACAAACTATAAAATACAGTAAAAATTATAACTTTAGGGCGCTCGTTAGCGCATCTGGTAGAGCGTGCATACCATGTACAAGGCTGAGTCTTTACCTCAAGAGCCCAGGTTCGAGTCCAGCCCATGGCTCTTTTCTCCTTGTCATCCCCCCTCGTTCTCTCTTTCTCCCACATTTCCTGTCTCTCTTCCTCGGTTTCTATCAAATAAAGGTAAAAGCCCCCAAAAATTATCTTTAAAAATGTATAATTTTAAATGAGGAAATACTGGCTCCAAGAACAAGTTAAGAGAAAGAATCTGACCAGATTTCAACTTTCAGTATTTTACAGTTTTTGATACTGTTGTTTTGTCTGGTAACGATGATGAAGTTTGACCAAGAACTAGGAAAATAAAAACCTCCTGTGGACGTGTGACAAAGTGTGTTCTGTATTGTATGTCCAGAGCTGCTGAAGTTCGGGAACTGTCAGTACAAAGAGAACTGCAATTTTGCCTATAACCAGCTGGAGATTGACGTTTGGACAGCGGAGAGGAAGGGGACGCTGGACAGAAAACTGCTGTTTGAAACAGATGCTGTCAAAATGGACCCTGTAATCAACATCATACGCCTTCTACAGGAAAACAAGGGCATGTTCATGTTCCTCTGTCAGGTTAGCGCGGTCATACAGTTTTACATAGTATTATAATTGTCAAACACTTATATAAGTCATGTTTGTTTTACTTAATTTTACTCTTAAAGAATATGTATTTTTAAATATTTTGTTATTCTCTTTTATGTTATCATATATTATGTTTTCTATAATGTTTTTTATGTACTCAGGTCTCCCTTAAATTATGGAAGGCAAACCATGACATATCCAAATTACATATCGAATAAATACATTTTTTAAATTGCAGAAATCTACTACTGTTGTCGCTGTCACAGTTTGATTGTTTTTGTATGAGAATGAGGTATATAGGTTGCACAATCTTTAATAAGATGTCTGTCTCTTAACATTTACACAACACTCTTTTTACATCATAATTAATTATTAATATTCATTTAAGGACAGCCATGCTCTTAGTCTAGAAATGTGTCTCTTTGTCTCAGTGTGTCTTTTTCTTTCTTTCTTCCTTTACGTCCTGTTGTTGGTCTCCTTTTCTTGGCTTTCTTTTATTTTTGTCTCTCTGTCTTTCCAGGAATGCTATGACAGTAAACCTAGAATCATCAGTAAACGCTGCAAAGACGATCACACCATATGCTCTAACTTGGATGCTCGCCACACCTTTGATGCTAACAAGTGAGCTTGTTTACAACATGTGTGTCACTCATCCTCTTGTTCTCGCTCATTACTCACACTCTACCTCTTTAACGCTCATGTTTTTCTCTCAAACACACTTTGATTTCTCCCTCTGGGCTTGTCAGGTGCCTGGCATTCGTGGTGAGGACCCACAGTGTGAACTACAGAAAGGTCCGTCCACTGAGCGTCCTGTGCCACTTGGATCTGTGCCGCCAAGCCATCCGTTATGGCTGCCAGAGAGAAGACAACTGCCATTTTGCCCACTCCGTCATAGAGCTCAAAACCTGGAGAGTGCAGCGGGACACAGGTGCAGTCCATCAGACACGTGCAGTGGAAATAGTAGAATCAAGAGCAATTTGTATTTTGTTTGTTCCCTGGAATAAAATATCAAAACATTGAAGATGTGTAATCTAATCAATTTACAGTGAGATGGCTCATTGAAACAGGATTAGCTCTAAACACATTCGATTCATTTTAAAGCTGCTCTAATCAATATTTTTATATTAACAACAGGTCAAATGACTATAGGTAATGTGAAAGGGGGGGCTCGTAGTAACAAATCATTAATTGACTCAGCTCCACAGAGCTTTTTAGTGTCCTTTTAAACTCATTACCATTTCTGTTTTACTTTTTGCAACTTTACAATTTTGGTTCACTCTCGACTCTCTCATCAGTGTCGTTCCCAGAAGCAGCAGCAGCAGCAGCAGCAGGCAGCTGTATTCAGCAGCAGCCACAGAAAATAACTCAAAATAAACTCACTTTACTCTACCTACTCAACACAAAACAGCACATACAGTCACAGTTAGCTACTAGCTGGTGAACATTTTGTAGCAGTTAAAGAGGCAGACATTTCCCTTAGAGTGGAGACCAAAACAGAGCTAAAAGGAGAATAAATATTGGATTGACATTCATAAGGTGGACAGATACATGAATCCTAATGCATGATGATGTTGCTCTGTATCTGCTGGATGTTTGTTAGCTATATCAACTTACTAAGGCGACATGTCAGAACAGTTTGTACCGCTGCCCTCAAGAGGCCAAACAAATCAACAAATACTATTAATACTGCTGCAAGTTATTTTTCAGTTATTAAATCCAGAGATTCAATGATGTAAAAATAATAATTGGTTTAGGCATTGTAGTAGTATCCTACTTCAGTTTTTCGAGTAGAAACCAGAAGACAGCGGTAGCTTGTAATGTTTCTCTTAAAATGAGTGGCAATTTTATTTCTGTTGCTTTGTGTTTACAGGTATCAGCCCTGATGAGATTGTGAAAATATCTACAAAGTATCATGACAAGCAGGAGCAAACCTCAAGCAAACACAAAGGAAATAGAGTAAGGAACCATTTTTAGCATTGTTATTATAACTACACAATTTTCCCCCTGCATATAGACCTGCCTGTTTGGTTTTTGGTCAACTTGTGCACCGAACAAATCTGTTTGTTCTTTCCACATGTTGAACCACCTCACTGCTGGCCTAGTTAATGTCTGTCGACTGAATGTTTCACCTTTTGTAATTTACAGAGCTTTTTATCTAAGGACTGTCACATTTATCATAAATATTAATTAAATGTACTGTGCTCTCAGTAACCACTTTGTACATACAGACCCGTGTAATTATTGGTTTGAAAATGTGCTAATCTTTGAGATTATTTTGTATTTGATTATGGCAGATGAAAGTTAAATGAAATATAACTCTTATCTTTGTCAATCATTTAATATTAAGCAGTTGTCTTCTGGACGTGGTGGAAGCAAAACTAGAGAAGGAGTTGGGAAGAGTATGAACATGAACATGAAGTTTGCCTGTGCTCAGTGCTGGCGGGACGGCCTGATCAGTGAACCGGACAAAACCCTCAAGTACTGCACTGCCAAGGCCAGGCACGCGTGAGTACAATTATATATATATATATATATATATATATATATATATATATATATATATATATATATATATATATATATATATATATATATATATATATATATATATATATATATATATATATACACACATTTTCTGCGTCCTGTCTGGGTCTAGCAGCTGTCTCATTTTCAGCCTCTGTCATCTTCTCCTTGTGTTTTCATCTTCAGGTGGACTAAAGAGAGATGGGCACTACTGGTGAAGTCCTTGGAGAGAAGCAAATGGGTTCAGGTCCGACCACTACCACATGCCAAGAACTTCCCTGCACACTATGATGTAGGTGTGCTTCCTCTGCTCTTATGCACTTTAATATAACAAGTAGTTTCAACCAAGCACTCCGATTCATCACTGACAGATATTTCTTGCCTTTTCATGTTAACTATGTTCTGTGTATTTTGCACTTTAAAGACTAAATTTGTCTAAAAGTGTTCCTGTTGGTGCTGATTAAGGTGTTTCTTGAACGCTTGTGCTGCACATTATGATCTGTGTTAAACAAGTTTTCTCCTGGCAGATATGTACACAGATTTTGGCGAAACGGAAATGTAACTACACTGGGAAATGCACCTTTGCTCACAGCCAGGAGGAGAAGGAGATGTGGACGTATATGAAGAATAATGACTGTAAGTTATTAAAGTAATGCCTTAAAACAGTACTTCACTGATTTAGGTTGCACTCCTGCAATGTTGGATCCACGATGGACAGTTTTAAAAAATAAATCAAAATTGGTGCAGTACGATGTTTGATCTCTTATTATAGCATGTTAGCATTCAAACATTTGCTAATTTGCACAAAACAAAGTACTACTGAGGCTGATGAGAATGTCATTAGTTTTGCAGGTATTTGGTCATAAACAAAACTTTGACCTCACGATGGCATAATAGGAATGTCTATTTTCTGTTTAATATTAAATGCAATTTACTTATGATTGTGAAGTGAATAATACTCGAAAGCTGATGATACACAGAGCAACTTTTAGAGCAATGGTGCTGGGCAATGTTGCTGTCAATGGTAATGAGTAAAGATTACTACCATAATCCCCTTCTCCCGCCACTCCGCCACCCTCCCTGCACCGCCGCTATCCGTTCAAAACATAGTCGGACTTGCCACCAACAAGATTGCCTAGCAACATTGCTCTAAAATTTGCCCCGTGGATCATCAGCTTAAGACTGATAGGCAACGCACCCTTTTATACCAGTGTGAACATGCCCGAAGTCACAGCTAAGGGGTGTCATTAAGTGACGGCTTTTAAATTAGTCACGCACACAGCATTCAAAGTCACAGAGCAGCATCTAGTGGAGTATATTGTGATTATACATTGTCTCCCTCTGTTTCCCTCAACTTGGGTCACATTTGGCTTCGAAATGTTGTTAAAATGGGCAGAAATCTGTAAACAAATCTCACTTGAAGAGCACTGCGCTCAGTCTTTTGGGCCTTGATTTGTTGTCGGACTTCGGTGAGCATCCTCAGAGTAATAAAAGGTGTATATTTTTGTCTGTAGTGCGGGACATGCAGCAGATATATGACATGTGGCTTAAATTAATCGCCCACAACCACCAGGCAGATGGAGCCATGCTCACCCAGCCCGTCCCAGAAGAGAAATATATCGTCATGCCAACTGACTATGCTGAACCAATGGTGGGTATACATTTGCTTTATGGTTCAGTAATGTCAAAGACCAAAAATAGCTGCACTGGCACCAAACTAAAACTTGTGTTTCCTGACTATGTGTCTATAAGAGTTATGACCATGATGCTTCGTTTCTGTATTTCAGAGTGGTTTTCACTGCCGTCTGTGCGGTAAGCACAGTAACAGTATAAGGCAGTGGCAACAGCACATCTCCTCTGAGAAGCACAAGGACAGAGTGTTCAGCTGTGAGGGAGAAGATGAAGCGCTGACGTGGAGCTACCGTTTCCCTGGGACATGCTTTGAACTCTGCCCCAAGTAAGATCTTTTCCTGATTAAGTTGTTGGATTCAGTCAGTTGAAGTCACCTGGTTAGGGATCCAGCATTGGTGTGTTGTTGGTCTGAATCACATACACAGCCCACAAAACTTAAAGAGTAACCTAACCCTTGAAAATCAGTTTTGCTCACCTACAGGGGGTCGACTCATCACCTTTCTGCAGTGAAAAAGAAATGCACTCAAATCTAGCTCGGGTCCTTTGTTGCATGTCATCCCCTCTCTCTCCTGCCTTTCCTCCCTCTCTTCACTGTCTGTACTCCAGGTGTGCGAGTGCACTGTGACATCACTGTTGTGCGTGATTAAAGGTGCAACAGAGCACACTTCTGACCATACCCAGATAACACACGCATTAGTGAAGATGGCTGTGGCCACAAGTAAAACAGAGTTGAAACTGTAAAACTAGGGAGGACCTTTAACAAAAAATATTCTCCACAGCTTTTGCCAATATTTCTAACTACTTCCAATAGTAGACTTGTCAGCTGCATTTGGCCACTGTAGAGTTGGGCCAATGCAACATAAATAGGCACTAGTGGTGTAAAGCGGGGCTTTAGTCTTGATCTGTTCATTTCACAAAAAAATGATCTGTCTTCAGATTTATACTGAAAGTTGTTGGAAATCATATGGACTACCACATTTCCATGTGTGAAGATTATATTGGATATTTGTTCATTCAAGCCACATGCAAAACTTTCTACATAGAGCCAGTCGGTCTGTCTGTAATGAAACCAAATAAAGATAATTTCGACCTTTGGTTACCTTGCAAATTGATAGCAGTGCATACTGATCAAAATAGCTGCGTCAGTCACTTGACCAAGCAGGCGGAGGGGAGTACAGAGTCTGACCTACTGTTTTGGAGAGTCACTGGCTGTCACCTTTGGCTTACTTTAGCTCAGCAATTGACCCTGAGATGACCTGGGGAAACAAGTTTTTAATCGATATTGAAAACTTTATTTGAGATAAGACGGGAAACGTGGGAGAGCGAAAGGGGACGACAGGCAGCAAAGGGCCACGGGTCGGACTCAAACCCAGGCTGCTGAGTCAAGGACTCAGCCTTTGTACCTAATCGGCGCCCCGTGATAACATTTTTGGCCATTTCGCCCAGTCCTACTTGTACTGTTTCTGACTAAACTTTTGGCAGTTTAAACTTTTGACTTTGGTCCAGGAGATTTTATTATTATTTTAACTATTAGATAAATATCTACTGAATAGAATTATGACAAACTCTGAAGTTCCCCTCACTTCCACAGAGCATCTTTTAGGTCATTGTTTTGTTTTACAGCCCAAATGTAAATTTACCTTTTTGGTTCACTCATAAGAAATGCAGGCTTTTTTTGTGTGTGTGTGTGTGTGTTAGTTATGAGTTAGTGGAGACCAAAACAAAGCTAAAAGCCAAATAAGTGCAGGTGATGCTCTGCATCTGCTGGATGTGTAAAAACCAACTGTTTGCTAACACGTTAGTGATTTCAGCTTTATAAGGCTATAATACTAAATGTCCATGTTGGGCTCAGATCAAACATTTTGCATTGCGTTAATGTTCGACAGGTTGGGTGGCAGCTGTCCTGACGGTGTGAGCTGTGACTACGCCCACAGCAAGGAGGAGCTCCAGGAGTGGACCGAAAGACGGGATTTTCTGCGACGAAAGCTGGCCAGAGCTAGGGAAGACATGCTCATCATGCCTGATGAGTTTGACTTTGGGAAGTTCAACTTTCTACTTCAGGATTAAGATTTTTTTTGACTTTGTGAGACTGCCAAACTAGAATTTCAAAACCAAAATCAGCAGGTGATGTGGTCACATAAGCAGTGTGTACAATTTACCAAAACATCACTTGGAATGTAAGGTGTAATGTATTTGCCTTCCCAAACATGCCAAATACTATTTACTTTAAACTGGTAGATATTTTAATTTCTTCTAACATTGTATTTTTTTCAGAGCTATTTGTATTTTCTGTTCAGCTGAAACGTCAGTAAAAAAAAAATAGTGCTGTGAAAGTAAGGCTCATGTTTGTGCCATTCATCTCAGATTATTCATAATGCCTTCATATATAACCAAACATGACCCATGTGACATCTGTTTGGTTCTTTTCTGTCCATTAAGAGGCTGTTCAAAGTCTTAACTATGCATTAAAAAAGTCCCCAAAGATTTCTCAACATTTAACACAAAAAAATTTGGTATGTTCCGTTATGATTTGTAACAAGTGAAGATGTGTTTTTGGTGGTATGACTCAACTTTTTGTATTTCTATGTGGAGCATATGTGTGTTATTCTGGGTCATATATTCATCACACAAGGCAATTATTGCCATATTGGCCAAATTATTTTGTCTTACAGTTGTGTTCATTGATTAACTAAATGAGAAGTAAATCACGTGAATCACTGTTTCTCCAGTTTACATAGCTATAAATACCCAATGATGAGAATAATATAGAAATAATAATATTAAAAAGGTCATGGTGGTTGAGTGTTTCCCAGGTACAGATTTTTAGGTACATGTAATTTACTTGAGTAATTTATTTGCATACTAGTTTATACTTCGACTCCACTACAATTCAGAGAGACATATTTACTTTTTAACACCAATACACATTAATAACAGCTATTACAAGTTACTTAAGATTTTACATTCAAAAAAGTGTATAGAATAGTTCAAATTAGCTCAACCAGCTACAACGTTCAAACACACTGTGTGTGAGGGGGCAATGTTCTACATGAAGTACTTTTAATAAGTAAAATTTGGTAATAAGACTTTTAGTGAATTAACATTTTGTATGCAGGATTTTTACTTACTTGTTATTACAGTGTGATATTTTTTACTAATAGCTCCTCCACCGCTGTGAGTAAATTTGTCATTGCGCTCCATGCAGTCACCTTTTAGTGCACTACTCAAACACATCACTAGATGGCGCGTGGCGCTGAGGTGGACCTGGCCTCGAGCCTCCTCTGAATTGCACGTGCCGGTGTCTTGCGTGGAGATAAATGTGCTCGGATGAATAGGGTTGTTGTGGCCATCATTAGTTAGAGCCCACCCCCGCTTTCTCATAGGCTCTGCGGTGACTGGCAGGCGCGCGCCCAGCTGACATCGCATCCACAAGGCATAGGGGGCGTGGCTCCCTTCAACTTATTATCATACATGTTGTTTGGACACATGCAGGCGTCCCCGTGATGTGACCTGCTGCAAAGTTGGCTAAAAGTGACTCAAGACAGCAGCTGAGAGCACACAGACACTCACTCACAGCCTGAGCGTTTCTCACTTATCTCACGGACATCAGTAGGTACTTTACACAAGTCGTTCATGATGTCTACAGCCAGCCAAATGTTCTTTGGAGATAGGAGCGACGTTCCTGATCTTCTCAAGTCCTTGGCGGACTATCCCTTCTCCTTTCCTGGCTTTGATGACGCCGGTAAGAATGTTTTCTTATTTATTTATTTTACAAGCAGAAGAACAGGCTTGAAACTTTAGAGTTGCACAGACAAACAAAATTGAAATGTATTTACTCCTGACAGTAGGATTTTAAGTTACTTATACTTTACTTGAATAATATTGAGTTACTTTATGCCACTTATACTTCACTACATTTCAGAGGGATTGTACCAATTTGTATCATTTACTCGACTAAACAAATTATCCTCATAGTATGGTTAAACTGGCTGAGGTAACGTTTAATCTTATATTTATATATATTTACCTTAATAATATAATAATCAAATCATATAAGAGTCTTATGACGGTGGTTATTCTGCTGCTTAATCAATACTTTCATAAATGTCCTTTTACTGTTAAAACTACTTTTTAAACTGGTAAAATTGTTTTAAAGATGCTATAACTAGCTGACAACTTTAATCCTGATGTGTTAACTGCAAAACACCTCACAGCCCTCATTACACTGGTCTCTCTGTAGTTCTTTCTCACATGTTCTTGTTAGGGTGAGGACAGTAACACTGATAATGTAGAGACAGTAGCTCAGGCATCAGGCCAGCAGATATCGGTCTTCTCTGGGAGAGGTTGACAAGGTTGGATCTTCCAAGAATATTTACCAGAAATGAATGTCTCCACAGTTTAGAGTGCAACTCAATGATAGTATTAGATTCCAGTGTGATGTATGTAATGCATTGGAGTCTAAACATCAGATAGATTTGTTGTTCAGGTTAGGCCAGTTAAGGATGACCTAAGAGAGAAAACCTACAGGCACTAGGGGGAAGACAGAAACATAAATCCTTCATATTTGGTGTTGGCATTGCATGTGTTTACACGTGCTGACTCTGTTTCTCTTTGGTCAAGTATCACCAAACTTTGCTGTGTAAGATTTCATCAGAAAACCTTCTTCCTTGCTCCTGACTGCTGGCTCACAATATTTAGTCAACAGTCATCACATGGACACCTGGAATAAATCTGATCATGGTTGTATGTTGAGGTGTACTGTAGCAGGTTCAGGCCTATATGGAAATGTGTCCAGCTGCTTTGATCACTCACGTGCACAGTTGATCAAAGGCAGTGAGCTGCATTTTATCAGCAATCCGTCTGTGCTATGCCTCCGTGCAGACACAACACAGCAGCCTGCAACTGATGCAACAACCCTGAAACATTCCTCACTCAGAGTTTCATCATTAAGTGCTTTGTGCACTCGGTTCTTTGTGTGTACTTTCTTGCTGACTTTCTTGTTTTTTAAAGATTATTTTTTGCCATTTTATTCGATAGTTGAGACAGGCGGAAAACATAAGGAGAGAGTGACATGCAACAAAGCCCCCCCCCCCCATCTGTAACTGAACTAGTTTCTTTGGGATATCACGTTATCATAACTTGGACCACTATAGGCCACAGGTGTGACCCTTTCTTTCTTTGAGTGTTGTTTTTCTCCTCACTCGCACGTACTCCACATGTCAAAACAGCACTCCTCCAGATGGCGAGGACAGTATTGTTAGTACATTATGCAGTGTGCTCAGTTTACTGTGAATGATCAGACTTTCACAACCAAGTGAAAGTGACGCTTTGTAACACTGGAAAAATAACTTACTACTTTTTATGCGTTTTGACTTTGCTGCCAACATGTTTCAACATTAAATTAGATAAATACATGTTGCACTCTGAACTAACTCTAAATTTCCATTTGCTAAACTTTTCTATAAACTGCTGGTAATCAAATTAAGAATTTGTACATGGCTGCATAAATTCTTCATCTGGGTAGATTTGACACATTTATGAATTAATAAGCCAAGCATATTTTGCAATAAATGTGACAATTTAATGCAACATAGTTGCATGTTTCATGTTTCAAGCATGACAAAATGCACGACAGTTTTTCTTGATCTGACTGGCACTTGAAAAATGTGCAGTTCTGCATATAACCTAAAACATTTGATAAAACTTGTAAAAGCTTGGCCTCATGGCTCTTGACCTCCTCATCAATGCCAAAGTTATAGCATACTAAGATTATGAGACGTGAAGCATGAAAATAAACATGATTAATTGAAATACCCTGAAAATATGAAGCTTGTGACATTTTTATGTTATAATTCAGCAAGTTAGGCCTTCAGCAGCACCAAGGAGATTTCACTGATGGCTGTTACTTGGCCCATCAACAATGATGTAAGTCATTCTTCGAACCTGTACTTGCCTTTGGTTAATGGGTTTACTATTCATTTAGACACACATACTCTGGACTGCCAATTTCACCGTCTTGTTCGATGCGTCTGGTAATGATCTATAACTCCAATGGGTCACCTTGCTGGGTGCCCTTTGCTTTAGTTGTGGTCAGTAATGATTGCATATTCTCCTAGTGACAACGAGATATTTATTGCGTCATATCAAATTCATGTTATTTGGCAGTATATTAGTGCAAATTACAGAAAAAGTCATCTTTCTTTCTGCTTAGTATTATTATTTATTTTAACATAACGATAAATCAGTTACCTTATAAAATGTGCCCCCCTTTAATAAAATGCCATTACATATTTTATCATTTCCTGTATACAAAACAGTAAAGTTCACTGATTTCTAATTTATTAAGTGCAAAAAAGTATGCTCCAACACTATGTATCACTATACACGATCAGCTGTAACATTATATCCACTGACAGGTGAAGTAAATTACACTGATTATCTCGTTACCATGGCACGTCAGTAGGTGTGATATAGTATTCCGCAAGTGAACATTTTGTCCCCATAGTTGATGTTTTAGAAGCAAGAAAAATGGGCAAGCGTACGGAATGGAGCGACTCTGACATGGGCCAAGTTGTGATGGTAAGACGACTGGGTCAGAGCATCTCCAAAACGGTCTGCAGTGGTCAGTACCTACCAGAAGTGGTCCAAGGAAGGCAAAGATGTGAACTGGTGACACTTTCATTGATGCATGTGGGGAGCTAAAGCTGGTCAGTGTGGTCTGATCCAACAGACAAGCTACTGTAGGTGTGATTGTTGAAAAAGTCAATGCTAGTTCTGACAGAAAGGTTTCAGAACACACTGTGCACACTCAGTGGAGTCTATGCCTCCATGGGTCAGGGATGTTTTGGCGGCTACATTATGACCAGCAGGTGGTGATAATGTTATGGCTGATCAGTGCATACTGTAGTAACCTACATACTGTTAGTATGAAATAGGTACAACTGATTACCCAGTTAACACTTTATACAACAGAGAAATGTTTGTTCATTTGCCAAAGTGCACAAGTTAAAGAAAAAAAATTGGATTACAGTAAATGTTTTAAGAAATTAAAATACATGGTAAAGTACTACCAAAGAAATTTGGAGTTTGCTGCCTCGGTTAAGGGTCCTTCTGAACTGTTTATAGGCAGCAACCTCTCTGCTGACTACATCTCTTACTCTTTAGTCCCTTCCCTGTGCTCAAGCTGCTGCTGCAGGGATTTCACTGGCTTCCTCTCTGCCGGGACACTTACAGCAGACACCGTGGTTACTGTGGTGAACTTGTGGGAAAACAGCGATTAGTGGTGTAGACTAGGTGCTGTGCGGTTTGAACATTGTGTTCCTGAACCCAAACATCCTGCCGAAGAGAGTTCGCGTGCGCACTGTCGCGTGCAATACTGTGTCGCGTGCACAAAAACGTGAGATTTTCTCCTTTGCTGTGGCCGCTGCGAGTATTTGATGTGGGGGATGTTTCATTAAAAATGACGGTTGTGGGAAATAATAGATGGCGTGCTGAGTTCATACGATAGGACCACGTGCAGCAACGCCTACAAAAAATACAAACGTTGAATTTTAGATGATTACTGTGAAATGGATCTGTGGAACTATAAACGAGCATGTGGTCGAAACATAGTTTTGTTAGAATACAGTGAATACATACTGGTAAATTACTCTAAAGACGCTGAGTAGTTTCAGTCAGAGCTGTCTGGTAAACAACATGTACTCTATTACCTTTGGGTCCCGTGCCAGGCGTTAGAACGATGGGCTCGTGCCCGCTTCAGCTCTCCGCACGTGCTGAATGTCTGAAGCTACGCCCCTCGACAGGTTGTACTTTCACGTGAGTAGGATGGGGGCGGGGTGCACGTGTTTGGCCACGAGTATCTTCTTGTCAAGGGTAGGATGCGAGCGTCAAAAAAATCTTTGCACGCGCACACTGTCTTATTTATTGGGTGTATACAGTTTGTGTGGGAGCAGGCTTGCAGTCAGAGCCTACAGTTTAATCTGAGGTCATGATGAGAGTGTGTGAATGTGTGATTTAGTATCCCTTAGCTGGATACTCCCCGCATCATTTCCTTGCACATTGTATGCGCGAGTAGTGACACTTAAAATATACTAATACGCTGCACGAGACTGTATGTTGTTATTGCAATTCACGTCCCACACGTTCGGATGGACTGTGCAGCTTTTTCTATGCAAAGAATCGTGTGAGTTTACAGCCACTGTAATACACATTTATATGAACAGCACTGACAACCAATCAGCTGCTACTATTCCACGAGTGGGCGGGGCTCATGAATATCCAAGAAGCGCTTTCTTTGGGCGAGGAAGAACAAGGGGTTAGTGTAGTATTGTTGCTCCCAAACAGGCCTGGCAGCAGCAGGAGTAGTTAAACAAGCTGAGAGCCGCGCTTCGTTTCGTTCCCGTTGTTTCCCGGTGAAGGAGACAGCTTACGGTACCGTCAGGAACATCGCCGCGACGTGCTCGGAGCTCGGCAGGGAACAATGCCAGGCAAAGCCGCGGTGACAGCGGCGCTTAAGTCCAGTGCTAACGCCGTTACAGCGACCCCGCAGAAGTCCTTCCCTTTTGTTTTAAAGAAGATCATGGACATTCCTCCTCCTAACATACTGGAGGAAGGCGACGACGGTAAGATAAAAAATGCAAACACGAGCGCTCAGTATTCCAGTGTGTTTGTCAACGGGTTTTAAAATGGAGTTATATAGTAATCTAGATGTGATGGCGTTAATCTCCAAGTGTGTGTGAAGGGCTGTCTATTGTCTTTGTATACATGTATGATCGTTAATTATTTAGTGCGAGATTAGTGCGGACATGCCATATGTCGTACGAAGCCAGTTTGATCCAAGGCTGCGAGGAAACAAAAAAAGAACAAAAAGTTCCAACTCCTCTCTGCGGCTCTCCAGGCAGCGCTCCCACACTGGAAACACACTTAAAGACCAAGACATGGTTTGGCTTCTCATTAAACACATTGGTCTAGTGGGATTTTGTCTCTATAGTTTGTGGGGTTGTGTTTAGAGGCGCATGTGTGGAACAAGCAGGGCTCTGGCTCCCATGTTACTGTGCCTTTCTGGTTTCCACTGAAGCATCACTCTTGTTGTTTTTTTTGTTTTTTTCATCTAATGTTAGTGATCTACTTTCTCTCACTCACTGACAGACTGTTTGGCTCTTACCCCCTTCTTGGCAGATGTGCACATTTCACTCACAGCAAGCAGCCATCTCTTAACCACTGTTCCCTCTTGTCTTTAATGCAGACATAGAGAAAGAGAAGCTGTGCTCATCAGAGGATGTGGAGGGAGGCGAGGCTGGAGCAGCCAGTGCTGGTGGAGGTTCGAGAGGAGGAGGAGGAGGCGGCGGCGGCGGTGGTGGTGGAGGGGTATCAGCCTCCTTGACCCCAGCCATTTGGGAGAAGACCATTCCCTATGATGGGGAGACCTTCCACTTGGAGTACATGGACCTGGATGAGTTCCTCCTAGAGAACGGGATCCCTGTTAGTCTGGAGGAGGAGGAGCTGCAGAAGAGCCTGACCTCAGCGCTAGGCAAAGGCAGATCCATCCCCAAGGTTACTGCCACAGCTACTACTACTACACTCGCAGCAGCTGCAGTCTCCGACTCAGTATCTTCCCCCTCTGTCTCCGCCACCTCTACAGTCCCGTCAGATCCAGAGGAAACAGTCACAGTCACTACGTTACAAATAGCTAAACTAGAGGAGGAAGAAGAAGAAGAAGAGGAGGAAGAACAACAAGAAGAGGAATCTTTGTCTGAGGAGGTGACAACAGAACTGGAAGTGAAAGAGAAGAAAACCGGTGAGAAATTTAGATTTTTAGGGAATTCTTTGGATTTACAGTTCCTCTTTGTTTATATTTCAAATATCTCACTATTTTTTTATTATTCTATCATGTTCATCATGTCATCTTTTTAAATTAAGAAAACAAATTTCTGCCGACTAAGATTTCTAAATTCTATATCTAGAAGCTGAATACTGGACACTAAAGTTTGTCATTTGTTGCAGCTGCCTGTAGTTGGCCTGTAGTTGGCCTGTATAGCTGCAGCATAGTTAGCAGTTTAGTGTAGTTTTAGCCACTCTAGCCACACATGGGGGGGGGGCATATGAGGTTCCACTACACATCACTGTAACCTGTAAAGTCCAAAATCATCAATTTTCCATAAAAACCAGAAACCGACTTGCTGACCAAAACATCTACGGAACATCTATGAAAAATGTTCACTTATGTACACCCAGGGCACACAGAAAGACAAAATGTGCAGCCATTAAGACATTTCTGAGTTTCTAACTGTGTTAGAACTCAGTATGAGGAGAAAAAGTATATTTTATATATATATATTTTTTTTTTTAACAAAACCTGAACATTATGGGCTTCACAAAGAGAGGATCATTACAGGATGTTTGTATTGATTTCAAATACAATGTACATTTTTTTCATCTTCTTGTCTCTAGGAAAATAGCAACACTTAATCTCCTCTGTGTCTAATGCAAACATAAGCATACATGTGTAAATTCTTAAACCCAATGAACTGAACTAAACAGTAGATGTGGTTGGTTTTGTTTAGTTGGTGTGGCCTCTTGTATCCAAGCTTACTTTTTCTCTCCGTACCCATAGATCGTAATCCTGCAGAACGTAACACACCTTCCCCCATCGACCCAGATGCCATTGAGGTGGACGTTAATTTCCAGCCGGATCCCACAGACCTGGTCCTGTCCAGTGTGCCGGGGGGAGAGCTGTTCAACCCGCGCAAACACAAGTTCTCGGAGGAGGAGCTGAAACCACAGCCTATGATCAAGAAGGCCAAGAAAGTGTTTGTTCCTGATGAAAAGAAGGTAGGCTATTTAATCATATGTATGTTATTTTGGTTTGGGTCATTCCCCTCTAGCCTGCTGAGATAAAAAGGAGTATTTCTGTTTCTCCCAAAGACCCCCCCCCTTTCTTTCTCTTTAATAATAAAAACTATTAACAATTTATTTAAAAACCTGAGTGACAGTATATTTGACTACAAAAATGGGTGACTAAAGTTGCAGTTTGACTGTAAGGCAGCTTAGTTTTCTGGTCCATCCTGGTAAAGATTAAAGCATTTACAAACAGAGTGGTGGCTGGAGGATTAGAGATCAAAGATGTTGGAGGAGGGGGCAACACAGATGTTCGTTTGTTTCAAATCCTTTGCTAATGTTGGTTATGTCCACTCTTTCCATCAGGATGAGAAATACTGGTCCCGGAGAAAGAAGAACAATGTAGCTGCAAAGCGTTCTCGTGACGCACGGCGGCTGAAGGAGAACCAGATCACGGTGCGCGCCTCCTTCCTGGAGCGGGAAAACACGGCACTGCGGCAGCAAGTGGCCGAGATGCGGAAGGACTGTGGTCGCTGCAAGAACATCCTGGCCCGGTATGAGGCTAAGTACGGCCCACTGTAAAGAATTCAATAAAACCCACAAAGTCAAGAATCAATGAGACAAAAAGACAGAACTCCCTTTCCCGCAGAATTCAACTCCGACACAAACACCAAGCGAATCTAAATTTGCACTGTTGTCTTTGCTGACCTGCAGTCCCTGTGTCGAGCTCCAGTTGCTGTTTCTGACTAGAGTTTTAGATACACACTGGCAGGTAGTGAGGTGTGATTGGAGTGGTGGTCACAGGAAGGCCTGTGGAGAGCGCCTGGCTCCTACACTCCCAAGAGGAAGGGGGACGATTGTGGATACTCCCATGGTCAAACACACGTGGACAATATGGTAATGTCTCAAGGTGGCTTCAGAAAGTCAGGAATTATGAAAAGAGCAGACGGGTACAAAAAGAATCATAGGCATTTTCAATACTACGCAAATCAGTTTGATTCTCTGCACAGCACTTCTTAGTGGACCAAAGCATGAGAAGTGTCGGTTAGAATTTGTTTTTAGAATGGTGCACTCTTGCCGTCCCTCACATTTTCCTTGTATTGCACTTATGTTTGTGTCTATACTCTTTTAAAATCCTCTGGCTGAGGCTCAGAGGGAGTACGTTGATTAACTCATGGCAGCGTAGGAGAGGAACAGATGAATCCATGGAAAAAGGAGAATGAGACAGATTCACAGTGATACTTCCAGGCTGAAGAGAATAAAGCAAAGACCTCAGGTCAGCAGAGGAGAAAAGAGAGTCCGTTGAGTGGTGTTATTCAGTCACAGTTCTTCCTTGCGCTGTATGTGTGTGTGTGTGTGTGTGTGTGTGTGTATATATATATATATATATATATATATATATGTATATATATATATATATATATATATATATATATATATATGCACCACATAGATATGTGCTTGTGTGTTGTGTTTGCACTTTTTCTTAAAAAAACATGCAGGTGTCTATCTAATTTGCCACAACCACCATGGGAGACCCAGTATTTTGTGAGGGAGGAAAAAACATGCATGACCTAAAGTTTAAAGCTACTAGTTTCCTTTTCCACCAAGCTCAGATCAGCTTCCAGAGCCTCACATGACATTTAGTTAAAGAAGACATATTGTGAGGTTTCCTTTAAAAGACGATGATTTTACAAATGGATAGAGAGAGTAGCTCTATCTGTAGGTTACCATTGAATGCATATGTCTGATGATCTCCGGGGGCCCTCACTGGTGGAGGGGTATGTTCACATGTAGGGAAGTTTATTTTACTGCACACGGCAGGTAGAGGGCGCCAGAGCCACTGCCTGCCTGGTCATGGTGTAGTGATGGCTGGATTGAGTTTGAAAAAATTTTAAGCAGGCCCAAAGTTGACTGCTTCTAAACTTTGTAAATACATGATTGTCTCATGGTCTTTATTTCCAAGATGGGGATATTCTGACTGTGTCTTTATTAGCCCAGTACTATTCCTTACATTTGCCAAATAGTCAATGAGTGCTGTATTTATTCTGATGGTAATAATGCATCTGTTGATTGTGACGTATAACAATATGTCAGATAACTCTATTTCCTTTGAGGAACAAAACTTCTAATGAAACCAATGCAGGGAATTCAATGGTTAAACTGTGCTTTTGGATGTTTGTTTTAAAAACAGATTTATATAGTTTTATGGTGTTTCCTCTATATACATACAGTATGTGTCTGAACACAAAGGACAGTGCACACTCCTATTTACCTCATCCAACACTTCCTATTTTGAATGGTTGAAGGTTTAGTAGGGCTACGAAGTGGTGTTGGTTGAAGCAGAGAGCACACAAAAAGCAGCTTAGTTCCATTTTGCAAAACCTTAAATCCGAGTTGATAAATTGAGTTCTTTTTGCCAAAGTGGCTGAGTCTGTGTCTAAAATGAGTAAAAACATTACAGACTGTTATAGGACTCTACATCTCAAGTGTCTTTGGCCGATGCAGATCGGTCAACTTGTGCTCATTATTGCCGTAATCTTGGAAAGAAAATAACTGTGGCAATAATACTGTTATGTAATGCTTGTTTTATTTCTGTAATGATGTTGTATGTAAAATTGCTATGATGTACTAAATAGAATTGCCCCAAAGTCATTTGTGCTTCCAGTTTAGATCCTCCGTAGTCTAGGATCCTAATGCATGAAACCCAGTTTACTTGTCTTTTTTTTTTTCTTTGAATATTTTACACCAAGTGTACTTAATGTCTGTAAACCATCACTGAAAACAAGCTATGTTTTTGGATGGGTAGGTCTCTTGTACAGTCCTGTCACAAGAACAAGTAGAGCATCTTTGCTGTGAGGCCCTGTGTTTATGACTTGCATAATAGCGCCACCTATCCTTGTGCAGCCAGTGCTTGACCTTGGGGCGAACATCAGCTGAAAACAGCATCTTTTGATCACTGTATGGATTGTTTTATATTTACTAAAGGTTGATCTATATCTAGATACACTGGATCAGTTGGTGATTTTGTGTTTTCTTGATAGATTCTGTGTTTGTTTTTGTTTCCTGATGGTGTAGTATAACAGACATTTCTTAGCAATGCGTTAGCAATGTTTTTATTTTGCACTGACATTCAAACTTTGCATTGACTGCATTATGCTGTTTATACATCAATGTAGTTGATGAATACAACCTTTAGTTCTCAACTAAATTAAAAATGTTCTGCATAAGGCAGATGAAAGGTACTGGCCAAGAGAGCAGTTCCGAAGACGACAAATCAAGATCGTTAATAGTACTGCATACAGTATGTAGCAAATGCTTTTTTTAAATTTGATGCATAGCACCTCAATCTACTGGCTTGCACCTCACAAACCTGCTCATTGATGATTGATTTAGCAGACTGCAAATCCTCCAGGAAGGAAAATATTAGCAGCAGGTTAGATCTGCAAATGTAGATATGTCTGTCGCCACCTACAGACAAAGATGGTAATAGCTGCTGCACTTTTGCCACCTGTAGGAAATAAATGTTACAACTCAATTTTTTTTTCTTGACAGCAGCTGTTTTCTCTGGGTTTTTTTAATATATTTTTTAATATAACCCTATTTCAATTGTTAGCTAAAAACAAAAGGAACATAAATGTTTCACAGTAACCGCTGGTAACAGTAACCTCCTGTATGGCCGCAAATTAAGCATGAAAGTATTAATTGACCTGTCCAGCGTGAACATTTTACCAATAAACAACAGATGTCATGAGAAATAAAATCACCAAGTCTGATGAAGGTTTGCAGGTTCAAAATGTTAAAAAGTAAATGTCACACACAGCATATTTTTAAAAATACAGCTGTTACACTCTACTTTACCTGCAGAATGTGCAAATTAAAGTCTACATCTGATTGTCTAAACTGCTGTTTTCAGGTTCTGGTCTGAAACTATTGGCGCTGACTTTGAGCGCTTCGCATCAATGACACTATGTCCTTGTTTGATAAGTCTGTATTGTAAAAGTTTAAAAAAATGTTGTTTTGCTTTATTTTCTCTTTTTATATAAATGTGTTTTTGTATTGTCCTAACCATGTACAGGATACATGCAACTGCAGTACCATAGTACAGTCATACCTGTACCTTGTATCATGCATATGAAATAAATTGGGATTTAACATGTGGGCTCCTGGTTTGACCTTGCATGAGTCATCGGCCAGCTGCAGCAGCTCTAATGGGAGCCTTACTGGTGCTGAGACAAAGGAAGAATAGATAAAAGAAGCACAGTTTGGTGGACAAATGGAGACGTCTTCCTCATCCGTAACCTCATCCTTGATACGCACAAATGCACAACGTGTGATTCTGTTTCCTTTCAGACGCCTTGTTGTTTCCCTGTCCCTTTGTTGCCTTGTTCCTGGTGCTCATCAGTATTCCAGAGGAGTAGGAGATGTTGCGTAATGATCACGTCGACACACTGGGGAGCAATGTTGTGTAAGAGCAGCAGCAGCCTCAAAGACCAGCGGGATGGGTGGGGGTGTGTGTGCGTGTGTGGAGGATGGTGATAGGGAAGCAAGGGATGGGCTCTGGGAACCGGGAGGTGGGGGACCAAGGAGAGGAAAGGATCAGGTGGATGGAAGGATGGATGGGAGAGAGAAAAGGAACTGGTGCTGGTGAGGGGGAGGAGGTGGGGCAAACAAGATGGCAAGGGGATGGACAGAGAAAGATGGAGAACAGGGATGCAGTTAAAGACGTGAGCCGAGGGAGAGAGATGGGACGCAGTGAACTGACGATGAACATGTGGAGGAGCCCAGCCATGCACTTTGTCACACCACTACATGTTACTATAGAAAGCACAGCCCAGTGTGTTCCCGAGCGATCCAACCATACAGCTGGCTGCATTGACAGAGGCAGTAGCACAAGACAGACAGAGAGAGCGTTGGATGATGAAATATAAAGTAATATCTGCTGGGATGGGTCCAGCTGAGGTGGGTGGTGAGCAATCTGGCTCCTCACCGTATGAGAATTTCATCTTAGCTTTGAATTATTGATCAAACATCACTTGAGTTTGTTTACTGCAGTAAGAGGACACATTGCGCTGGCATTTCAATCTGAGGATTTTCACAGGAACGCGAGGTTCTAATTTTCATAATCTTTGATCTGCAATATGATCAACATTAGCCGACTAAGACACAGACACTAAGAGGTGAGAGCTGGATTCATGTCATGCCCCATGTCTGCATTATCCCCCCCCCATTTAGCCGCATGATGTTTCACAGCTCTGCAGATCCAGAAACAATGAGGACAACACAATCAGCTTATTTTCCATGCTTATTTTGCCAATCTGTTTTTTCTTTTTATTACAAACTTAAAAAAGAATCTGATACAATAAGAAACTGCAGTAGTAACTCCCCATTCCCGAGGGGCAGCACAGAAAACAGGTCATTGCATTTCAGTAGTTAAAGATTCATTACACATCTACAGGGTGTACAGATCAGATACAAAATAGGAAAAATAATAAAATACAGGCAAGAAAGAAAGCACTATATTTATACATCTGAACTTTTAATTATATGTATTTTACTCTTTAATGTTAAATTTTACATAGAAAATAAACTTCTTTTATGACAATGAAATATTCCAAAGTGCAAAATAAAACGCACACATTGATATAAGCAAAGGACATCAGAATACAAAATTCTTGTTTTTCACTCTTCATTAATGTTCAACCCTGATTGTAGAAGAGCCTGCGTTTAGAGTTGATTTGCAGTGTGTTTACAACACTAATCAGTTCTTTTCAAGTGTTAAAACACAAACCAGCATTTGGGTCTTAAAGATGGGAGGGAAAACCAGCTTTTACAATAATCCAGTCACATATTTTGATCCCTCACCTCAATTTGTATGTGGAGGAAATTTAACAAAACACCTCGTTTGCACTTCAAAAAAAAAAAAAAAAAAAAAAGTCCACTTGGACATTTTGGACATGCATGTGACCTAAAATCTCTAAGACTTTTAAACACAATAAGCGGTTTCCCACTTTTATTTTCCACAGGCCATCTCAACCAGGGTTGACTAACAGATCAGTATCACATTCATTTCCTTCAACCTTCCAAACCTGCTCTAACACCGTCTTCCCATTGAGGAGCTATATTAGATTTTTTTTTCCAGGGTGGAGAGGTAGTAACCCCTTGAATCCATCAGGGTAATTTAAGTTATGGCATTACATTGCACTGGAGAAAGGTGGGCATCTGTGTAAGCGAAGACAGTCTGGGATATGGCTATAGGTTCAGGACCAAAGAACCAGGCTGATGAGTAACAAAAAAATAAAATGAAAAAAAAATCTGATGTAAAATATGACATTAAGATGGTTAAAATAAATTGTGTTTATATCAGAATATATCTGGTTGAAGTTACCATATAGGTGAAAACTGTTGTGAAGTGTTGTATAGTTATTTTAAAAAAAAAAAAAAAAAAAAAAAGGGGGGGGGGGGGCACAGTATACAGTGAATTCACAAACGGAAGCTGGTCATTGCACTAATCGTAATAAAAGCGGAGATTTTTGGTTTAAATGTACTGCCTATGGGAGTAGTGTTGTCAGACTGCCCTGGGAGCACAGAAAGTGATAATCAGCCATCTTTTCCTACACAAACCCACTGTAAACATTCACATCTTAAACTCCAAATCCAACTTGAATGAATACATTTACCCGTCTTATTAGACAAATGCTGTACAAGGTAAAATACACATTCAATACTTTATTCTGTACATCTTTATTTTTGTCTCAGTTTGCATATATTCATGTTATTTTCTGAAAAAATAACCTCGGCACGTAAGAAACTAAACAAAGAATCTGAACATAAGAACATTTTATATACATATTCCTGGACTTGTCATGTCTTACTCATACAAATGTAAGTGATCATTTGCAAAAACAAAAATATAGAAATATTGGAAATAAATTACAAAACAAAAAAGTTATAAATGCATCTTTCCCTCACAATCAAAACATTTAGAGAAATGTGTCCCTCCCCACCCATTCCCCTTTGAAAAGAAAAAAAAAAAAAACTTGCATGCATATGACAAGCTGTCATATTGCAAAACCAGCATGAGCACAAATCAAGGGTCCTTGGGTTATCTTGTACAAAAACATTTATGGATGCAAGAAAACATTCGAATCAACGGACAAGACTGACAGCATCTCCTCACCAGCGTGATGCATTTGAGTACAAATGAAGCTTCTGTTGGAATCTCTAAAGTATTTCATGACAGCTGAATAAAATGTGCCACTACCAAACAGAGGGCAAAAGGAATAGTTTAGCGCTCATGTCTGTGGGCGACACAGAATCAGGAGCCCAGTAATAAAGTGCTGGACAGCTCAAATGGACATCTGGGGGTTATTCGTTCCTGTAGTGACTAACCAGTCACATGGACACAGCTGGTAAACAAACCATGTTAGAAACGGCAGACTTCCGGAGATCTGACAAGCTATCCACTAAAAGTGACAAAAGCCACATATCAATAAAAGAACATTCATCTTTGTCTGCAGCACTGCATCTGGGAAAAGATGCAGAGCAACTAGAACTGTATGTATATTTTCTTCGTTAACAGCCAGAGGAGCACCGGTCACTGAAGATTTTCCAGAGTAGGGAGAGAATAGGGTGAGCCTCTGTCTTCAATGCCATTTAAGCTCACCAGACACATGCACTGGATTTTAAAGTGCCATTCTCTAAGCCAATACAGCCTGGACACCACCAAAGCAACAAAACCCTCTACCCGTCACCATCTCATTTCCTTCAGTCTTCCCTTCTCTCCCCTCCATGCAGAGGAAAACCTCTCCTTCATAGTCAAAGTCATGCTAAACCATTTATCACAATCCCTGCTGCTTAGCTGCTGCATCCCCTCCCCTCCTTGTCCGCTTGTTCACCTTCTCTCACACACACTCACATACCCCCCCCCCCCCCCACCCACCCCCTACTGGAATCATATGTATGTGCAGACATCTTCGTGTGTTTGTGTGAATGTCAGTCTATTTGAATACATGTATGAAATCATAACTTGCATCCCTGTGTGTATGACTGAGGTATCAGCACATGGTTATTGTTTTTAAAATACAAGGATTGATTTTGCTTTTGTTTCCCCGACCTTCCCAGCTGCAGTTTCCCCCTACAGGTACAATACATTCTACTACATCACTCCCTTATATTAAACACCCCTATGCTCCGTTTCTGCTCCCTCCACTGATCTCACTTCATTTAAACCCACGTCATGTACACAATCCAGCTAACAATAAACTGCTCCCAATGTACACTGAGTCAAATTGTGCCTGTGCACGCATGTGTTCCAAGGGTAACAGGGCCCACCGTACAAACAAGGAGTCTCTCAATCACGCTGAGCAAAAACAAAACAGAGCAGGACCACACACACACGCAGCAGAGCTCCCCCCTCTCTGTATTTGTGGCAAGTAGGGCAGAGCAGATTGCAGCGCAAAGTGCTGAGCTTTCCACAGCCGTCGTTCCCTGCAGGACTTGGCGAGGTCCTTATTCACAGCATGACAGTGCAGTGCAAAAAATGGAGCTATACTTGAGCTAGAGGTCCATTAAACTACAAGTCAAGAGGAAAAAACACAAAAAAAAAACACCACACGCTAAAAAAGTCCCTCACATTAACATTCAATGCAAAATAAACATAAGAGATTGGCGACTCAAGGTAGAAAGGAACTCCACCCACCCACTCCTGTCAAAGCTAACACAGAACGTAACGAGTAACAGCAACGGACAAGAGGGCAGGGTGGGGTCGGGGGTTATGGAGGACCAAAACAAATCATATTAACTATTCAGTGGATGTGGTATTTATTTAAATCTTTGTTGTAGTAAAACTAATCCTTAACTTGTATTAGAACAATTTGTTAGAAAAACTGAAAATATCTGGCGCATCATTGTCCTACACACCCCCTCCTCCTATAACAATTCTCATCATTACAAATGAAGGCTTAGTTGGCCAGCACAACAGGCTGGAAGGACTGGCTAGGATATTGCAGATTGTAGCTTCCTAATCCCTCGACAAACGGCGGCTTCTCCATGTAGGAGATTCCTCCATTGCTGCCAATGATGCCCACACTCTGGGCAGGAGGAGGGCTGGAGAAGGGGTCAAAGGACGGATGAGTGTGGGGGGGTTGGAATGGGCTGGCATGAGGCTGCATGGGCTGGGTGTCAACATCGAAGTAAAGGGGGCCTGGGGATCCTGGGTAGACAAACTCTTTGGCGTTGGGAGAGAGCTGGCTGGCGATGGGACCACCAAGGGAGTGCAAGGAGAGAGACAGGGGCTTGTGCTTGAGCAGCTCTGGTGCCGAGATGGTGGTAGGAGAGTGGGAGAGCATCCTCTGCGCAGGAGGTATGACGACTGCAGAGCCAGCTGCCGACCCGGCCCCACTGCACTTCTTCATCTTGGTCGAGCCGAATTTAGTGGCGGCGAAGCTGGCGGTGGTGAAGGTGATGGGTTGAGGACGGGCAGTGGGAAGAGCTGAGGGCGGCTGCTGAGCGGAGAGGTAGGGCAGCCCACCGCTGGGAGGAGAAGGGGTAGAGGTGTTAGAGGAGTGGACGGCAGGCTCAGTGGGCGTGCTGGAGCTGGGGTAGCTGAAGAGCCCGGGGCAGGACTGGGCAGACAGAGGTGTGGGAGAGCTAGAGAGCGATGGCATGAGGGCGGGAGACGCCTGGCTTCCAATTGGCACAAACACCTGAGCGTCTGGGTTGAAGCCCAGACTCCTGCCCTCCTCCACCTCTGAGTCTCCTTTACCCTCTCTCATCACCCCCTCAGCCCTCTCGCTGTCACAGCCGAGGCCTGGAGGGTCCTCCAGGTAGAGAATCTTCACCGCCCCCTTCTCTCCAATCTGGTAGGATACCTCATAAGGGTCAATCCACACACTGAGCTCTGCAGGAACATTTGCACGCACTTCCTCCGTGTCCAGTCCGCTTCTTTTGGCGGCCAACTCCACCACAGGGTCCCTCGGTGCGCCAAGGTGAATGCAGCGGAAGGCAGAACCCCTGAGGGGGGCTTCAGGGTACCAGTGACCCTCAAAGCGAGACATCAGTATCCTCTCCAGCTCCTCGCCAAACAGGTCGGCTCGACGCCGAGGCAGCTTGTTGTACAGGTAGGACACGATGAAGTTGAGGGCGACCTTAACTTCTAGATGCATGGCTGCAGTAGGTTAGCGCCGGTCGTGTGAGCAAAGTGATCAAGATGATGCTGAATATGAGGCGATGCAACTGGAACAAGGAGTTTTCCCCTCTGGCTTATTGTAAAGTGTATGATACTTTTAGTGTCACCATGGTAAAGGCACCTCAAAAGGTGGGGGCAGCAGGTGGCAGGCTGTTTGTCACAAATATGCAACGATGTTTTCAGGTCCCAACTGTGAAGAAGAGAAAACACAAGAAAGTGGTTATTTTACTGGGCAAGAACCAGGTGAAGATTTGAGGGGAGATGGCTCAAAAGTGAAGGGGATCAAGCTGTAGACAGTCAATCACACCTATGGACATAGAAAACCTCATTGTGCGGGGACGGAGAGTGCCACCAGGATAAGACATTTTCAGTGATTAAACAGAACTAATTTTGTGCATTTAAGCATTATTTACATGTTTGTTTTTTGTCTGAACACCAACATCACTAAAGCATACTGAAATATTTAGTGTTAACCTCAAGTCCTTTGAACAATCAATTTTCCAAAAACACAATTAAAAACAACCTGCATCACATTAACAACTAAAACACTTTTCAAATCTCAGGACATCCTGGTGAAACGCTTTAGTAAATGTATCATTTAAGTGATTTATATAATTATTTGAGTGGCACACTCCCAGCCTCTGGAGAAGTCATGGCTCTATTGAAAGAGAAAGAAATATACACGCCTGCAGGTACGAGGCCAGTGAAAGTGTTACAGCTTAATATGATATGGTTTGAGACATTTCTCTAGTGACCTGTGAGGGCAAACATTGACTCAAATAAGAAACTTGAGACTTATCTAATTGTTGTGAAATCAATTTCGAAAAATTCTGTATATTTCTTTGATGTGTGAATACAGTTCCACTGAATCTACATAATGTATATGTTTGTTAAGGAGGTGAGAAAGGCTATTTACACAGCTACTGTTCTCATTCAGCAACACACAGGAAGTATACATGTTTTATATTTTGTATTTTGGTTTTATCAACTGCATGGTGTACTGATGGATCTAACAGATGCTGTGTTGTGGGCTTCATAAATCCTTTATAATCTGAATCCGAGCTCGTGGAGTGCTTCCTGCTTAATGCCTTAACACCGGAGTCACAGAGTCCATTCATCATGATGTGGAGTCAAACTGAGTGAAATATCACATGCAGAAAGAAAAAAACCCACCAGGCTCACATGGGAAGAAGTGTAAAATGGCAGGACAGTTAGTCGACTTCCCAGAACACCATTTCCCACCATGCAGTGCGTGCGATCACCCCCCCCCCATGCACACACAAACAATTCACTCACATTCACTACCCTGCCAGATGGGGATTCGGTTGCTAAGATTAGAAAGACGCCTCTGATTAAAGACAATTCTAATGTTACAGATAAAGCCGCACAGGCTGGATGCAGTGACAATTCTAGATGAGATTTACATTTCCCCTATCGCATGAAAAAGGTGACATTGAAGGAGAAGATGGGGGTTGGTTAGAGTGGGCTATAAATAGGGCCCCATTTTGCATCATCTATGGTGCAAATTCCTCTCCACAACCTGAGTTAAAAATTAGTTAGTGTGACTGTGGAAGAGGATCTCCAATCCACTGATCCGTCACCTGCCAGTATCACTAAAACCCTTGAGTGCACACACAGCTAAGCTACCTGCACCATCTACTGCATTTCATACCTCTCATTATAAAAAGGCAACAGTAAGATCCACAAGATTAAATTTCTTTAAAGGAATAGCTCTGTTGATATGTGCAGATTTGTTGCTTTGTGCAATATCATCCAAATCTTTCATGTTCATAAACCCCCTCGCCGTGTCCATATGCGTGTTCTTCACCTGCAGATCTGTTACACAGCTTGAAGGAGCTGGATTCATTTTTAGAGGCCTGCTGTTTTGCGGGTCAGTACCGAAGGCAGGATCTATAGTGCTATTTTTGTTGACATGCACTCATTATCAGAGCTGCAAATGTTTTGGCACTGTGCGCGCTGCATAGCATAGCATCCACTACAGGTCAGGTTTTATCTATTAAGCACCAGATCTTACAGGAAGCACAAGCTACAATAGACACATGAAAGCAAATGCCCCTTCAGAAATCTAAGTGAGAGCAACATACAGGCCTGCCTGAACTAAGTAGTCAGTGCACACACAAAATCTGTCCCACCCCCTTTGTTGAATTCAGTTTTCTCCCAGTTGAACTTTAAACAGATTAATATTCATAGACGTCTTTGAATTGGGAATATGTTGCACACCTATTACATGCCAAATAAGGGGAGGTAAATTTGCAAGGAGAGCGCGAGGCTGGAGAAATGTCAGCCAGGTTTGTGAGATGACAAGCTCAGATAAGGGATTACTGCCATATGTCAGCCAAAAGGCACTGGAGCAGAAAGGACACTGGTTTAGCTGACATGCAAGTGAAATCCCTTCATGGCAAACTGTCGCTGTAAATTAAACGATAAGGCCTAATTAAGTGGTGAACAGCCTATCGACAGAGTGTGCACTAAGCAATGGAGGAGAGAGTACCTCCTCAGCATAAACAACCCCGTCAAACAAGAAATAAAAAGGAAAATAAACATGACAGCTGAGCAGGCTTTGAGAGGGTCACTTCAGATAACGGGTTGAGGGGAATACTAAAGCTGGCTCTTTATATTAAATGGCTGAACCCGTACAGTCATTCATTATGCCAGCGCATTTTGATGGCTAGCCAAAGCTTCTGGAAAGACAAATACCAAAACACATCAGCATGCGGTTGTAAATAAAGACACCTAGAAGGATGTTTTAATACAATTAACCTGTTTCTTGCATGCACCGGCTGATATTTAATTACTCACCTATTGTTACTGATGCCCTAGCTTGACTTGTAGCCTACTCTGTTTTAATTCCGCTGTGTTGTCTCGGATTTAAAGGCGGATCTGCCAAGTCGTTGGTTCAGATGTTGAGAAGTAGAGATCCTGCTTCTTAGCTGATTTTTTAAAAGCACAGCCTTAGTGCTCAGATGGCCGAAGGCTTTCCCAGTTTGTCTTCAGCTGACAGTTTGCATGGAGGTCCAGAGAAACTTTGCTGTTTGACAACCCGGCGTATTTATACAGTGTGAGTCGCCCACACGCCCGTGACGACAGGAACTACTTTCTTCATATTATAGAAGCTGCTGCTTTATTATAATGTTTTCCAGTCAACATTATTTATGCACCTGTCCTCCTGTCAACAAACTCATAATATACTATGGATGCCAGACGTCTTATCACCATCAAAGCCATCCCTATGGACAATGTCTATTTTATGATTAACCCCCAGACTAATTTAAAAACAAAAATAAATGCGTCATTTTCTAGACAATATGTCGATTAAAAACACAGAAAACGAGGACGCTTTTTCCTCATATAAAATCCAAGTTTACCTAGCGGGCTCTAGTTTAATTGGCGAAGGAATATTTGTAGTTCCCTACGGTGCTGAACAATTTGCTAAAAATACAGGCGGTGATAGCAACAGAGTCTCTATTGGCTGAGATGGGGGAGGACCCACATATTATTGGGCTGCAGCCTCCGTTCAGCAGCAAAAACAAGCTGACTTTTACCAGGGACTTGTGGGAAATGATGTTCTTATCACTAAGTGAGGTAGACTAAAGAGAGTATTACATAATAAGACGTCTGGCATCCATAGTATATTATGAGTTGCACTGTGATTATGAGCTTTATAATTAAAAAACAACATTAATAAGATTTTTAATCATATGCATTACACGAACATATTAGGTAGCCATATTTTACACAACAGAACAGCCAACATCGGTACAGAATCGATATTGTGGATGGGAATTTTGAAACAAACAAATTCAAATGTTTGTCCTATGACTACATTTAAGCATTTTTACTTCATCACTTGACTATTTGACTGTTAATCTCAGACATGGATAAAATTTAACCAAAATATAACTAGTTTGTCTACTTGTTTTGAAAATTACACATTAAGGGAACAAAGCCTATAAAAATGTCCAAACACATTTGAATATTTGTTTTCTTCAATACTGTCCTCCAGCCAGAGCTATGTAAATGTTTTTTATGTATTAATCTAAAGCGTACTCTTATGTAGGCCCTATATCATATTATATTATACGTTATGTATTAAAGAAAGCCTAGCCTATATGGTGTAGTTCCCGTGGTGGAAGAAGTATTGAGAAAAGTAACAATACTACACTATAAAAATAGTTGATTAAAGTCCTGCATTAATTTACTTAAGTGGAAGTACAAAAGTATTAGTAGTAAAATGTACTTATAGTATCCACATTTAAAGTGCTGGACATTCAGCAGAATGACCCCTGTTAAAGTATAAGTGGATTATCATTAGGCCTACTGACATTTTATTAGGTGGAGGTGGAGCTGGTTTTATGTCCTGGCTACTTTGTGTGTAGCTAACTATATTATATAATGCTGGGTAGGCTAGTTAAATCTCACAGTGCATCATGTTTTATTAAGTGACAGATTTGTAAAATCTTTGTAAAATGCCTTTGTTTTATTACATTATATCTTTTTTAATATATTAAAGATATATTTAAGTATAATGTTTTTCTCTCAAAACATTTATTTAAATGACAACATAATAACAGGGTTAGACATCACAGCAGGAAGAGTAACACTGTTTAAGAACACCTTTCATCATAAAACATCATTATAATGGAAACTGCTACATGCATGTAAAAATAACAACATAGAAATTCTGGAAGTAAATCATAATATAACACGGTGAATTTATAAAAATGTATAAATTAAACAAAATCATAAAGGTAAAGAAAAAGAAGGTGCACTAAATAAAGTAATGTCATAATACTGAAGATTCATAAATTTATGAATTGGATAGACTCAAAATACTTGGAGTTCTATTCTGAATAAATTGATTGATGGCCGCGGGATCTTGAGAACTTACGGCTGAGGTACTTACCTAATAAGATAAGTGAATTAACCATCCTACAGATTTTCAGACTTTTGTTTTCATAGTGTAGTATTACATCCTTGGCTTCTAGTTTAATTGAATGGTTAGTTTGAGTTACAAAGTAGTCCTCGTTTTCCCCCAGAATCCCAGTATAATAAAGTATAAACTAACGAGCTGCTTAAGCCGGTGACGTCATACCAGGGCGACAATCATCTTTGTCAGTGAACAAAATGGCGTCTTACTGTTTGACTGTCACTAGACTGCGGGTAAGAAAACGTTATCTTACTTTTACAGAGTTTTTAACTGCCTTTCTATCGAGTACATATGTGATAATAGATATGTTCTACCGTGTAGTTCATCCGCCGTCGCGTAAGGTGAACCGACAGCGGGTAGATGTAGGGGAGAGTGCGCAGCGAGCCGTCAGGTCACGGTGCCCTCGTTCGACTCCCACCAGCGACGCGACGCAGTGATTATAAACCACGCACGACCTGACAGCAACCAATATTACATCGTATTATTGTTAATAACAGTATTGAGTTCAGTCAACATCAGCTTAATAGTGGCTGCAAACGGTCCTTTGTGACCTGTGGTTAGCAAGGTGATCGCAAGGTTACAGAGTTATCTTAACGCGCACTTCACTCCTGACCTACAGTCTATGCTCCTGACAGCTGGGATGCACAGCAGTCTGTTTCTGGCCTTGTGTTGGGTAGCGGATTAAATCAGATAACCTAGTATATGTTTATATTGGATCGTACAAGGCGGGAGAATATACCTTTTAAATTACACATAACGTTAGTAATGGAGATTCTTCCAGTTTTGAAGGTTGCCAGAGTAGTTTTCTTATAAGACCATTGTCTCAGTTCTCAGTCTTCCATTAAATGTTGAGTTTATTATTTGGATCAGTAGCACAGCATTGTATTGAGTTGACATTATATAAATCATATGCATTCAAACAAACCGAAACTCAGCATGGTGGCATATGGTGATGCCACACTGCAGTGTCAGTTTAGTGTATTTAGGCCAAGTGCTTAATTTAATTTTCTTTGCAACATAAACTGTCCCCAATATAAAAACAAATTTTCTACAACACATCATATCAACTATTTGGCATCTAATTTGGTCAATTCTGACATATCTACTACATTGCAGCATATCCTGTAAACATTTATAATGTTTTCTGCCTACTTCTCCATCTTCGGCTAACTATCTCACTAATTTTAAACAGACAAACATTAGCTAACCTGCACCAAATACACTCACTATTTTGCAGTTCTCTTTAACTCAAACTATTCAGAAAACACAGATAGGCTGAGGCTACACACCTAGGCTACTAAAGAGAGCGATTGCACTTCTTTGACTGGGCAATGACAGAGAAGGCCAGTTCACATGAAATGAGGACAACATGCAAACAGTGATGCAAAGCATTTGTTTTTATGCTGTTCATGTGAGAGAAGGAATGCATGTTTATGATTGGTTGTTCTTGTATACACAGGAGCACTCTGCTTGTTTGAAGGATTTATTATGGCAAAAAGATTGTTATTTGGATTAATGTTTTTCATCTGTTTTTAAATTTGATTTATTTGTAGAACTGATCTGCCGGAGTTGGCCTGCAGGCCTCCAGTTTAATAGGCCTGTTTTAATTACATTACAGTTTGTATGACTATGATGACTGCTTATGAAATAGTTGAAAAAGACCAAACAGACCATATTTAGCCTATTTTGGAAAAAAAGCAACATTTTCTGGAGCCATGAGAATAGGAACATTTTTCACTGCTGATGGTTTATTTACACAGATCTTGTTTGTTGTTATTGGTGCTCTTCTGGTTTACTTTGCTTAGCCGTACTCTTTGTGTACACTGGACAATCACATTGCTTATGATTTTATGATTATCATTTGGTCACCGTAGGCTGTCCGTAGCATCATATCAGATTTCTATGCAAAGTACATGCTGTTAAGTGTATCTCTCATAATATCTGAATCAAAGTAGTTGATTTACAGATGACAAGTACAGGCATTACGGTGCTGTAATTGTTACAATACTGATTTTATAGACAGTATGTGTGTACCTCTAGTTCTCATGCATAGTTAACAGCGTAGGGGAGTGTTGAATCCACTCAGACTGTCAGTGAGACTAAACCCTGCAATATGAGCTATATAAACTTTCACCCAATTTTCTCTGAGCACAGTGACTGAAAATCAACACAAAAGGACTAATATTAAACAAATGAACAAAGCTGGCCTAGGATCCCGTATGGCAGGTTTTAAATCCAATCCTACAATGGCTTATTTTTCAGGCAGTAGCAAAAGACGTCATCAACTAATAAAAATGCCTCAGAAACATGACACAGTGTCCTGATTAAATTTCTAAATCAGTTGCATTTCCAATTCGGTCTAATATTGGGTTTCTGACAGAAAATTTATGCAATATTTGTGTATGTAATGATTTTACTAAATAATAAAACTGTACATTGCACACTTTAAGTACATTACTTTTATTACAAAGATCTTGCAATGCTTTATATAGTGTCTACAAAGAGATAAGTGTCAGTCTGTTGTTGTAGCAGGAAGGTTTGGACAGCCTGTTTTTATTACCAGCAAAAAGAAAAACCTGACATTTTTTGCTAAAATGGAGGCAAAGCATGAAAGCTTTGGACCCAAAGTGTCTCCACTATCTTTGTTGGCTGAAGCACACTGTCTGTGTAGATATGTTTTAAACAATTTGCTGTTATTTACGTGGCAAAGTCTTATGTTAGAAAGAGTCCAGTGGGGCATTTTGGGCAGCTGGTGTAGCCGGAGCACAGTGGGATAAAATCAACAGAATAACAGAGACTTTGAATTATATCACATTTGGGTCTGTTCCTGAACTTGTAGCTCGGGCCATTCAAAGTTCCCTTTCTGATCTGAAGTCAATGTGACCAAAATGGAGGATTCTTCTTATGTCTTTTTACTGGTGCCACTTTCAAGGTTATGTTTTAACTATCCTCACATTCTTGCATAATTTAGCTGCCTCTCTTCCTCTTCTTCTGCGTAGTTAATATGTAAATCAAAATGCAATGTGTTAGTCCTCAACAGTAAAATAAACTTTGTTTATGGTGTTATTCCTCTAGCTGGCCTTTGGAACCGGGGCAAGGCGATTTCATGTC